CCCCACTTTCTCCATCAATAACCAAAAGACCTTCGCCTTCTGACGTTGAGCATCCATCATCAAGAACTGCCATGATCTTTTCCACGCAGGATGATCTTAGCTTTCTCTTCTCTTGATCGACACTCACATAAGGAATGTAGTCTTTGACAGTCATTTCGATGATGTTGCCATTGGATGCCATTGGGGTCTAACATGAAAGGAGTTCTCCCAGTCGGCCATACGAATGAGTAGCCAAGGTCAACCGCTTACCCATGGAGATTACGGAAGGAGTGTCTTCCAGGATGTGAGCTTCTGCTGGTTCGTTGAATGCCTCGAACTTGATACTTGATCGTTTGGTCGAACATGTTACCCCGTTTGCTGTATGGAAGTTGACGACTTTATCATCATATGTTGGGAGATCCATTCTACTTATTCGTGTTGATGAGATAAGATCATGACCACTTCCAGAATCCAATATGAATCTCTTATCTCTTTCTTCAACAGGAACAGTGATACACATCGTGTTACCCCTTTTGCCATATCGACCCTCGACATGCTGAACATAGTTCTCCACGAAGACCTCCCTGGATACCTCACCGTCCTCGATGTCGAACCTGATCAGAATGTCCAGACTGGGGCCGACTATGACTAGGACTTCATCAATGTCACTGTACTCACCCTTCTCATCGATCAGGATAGCCATTGCCTTCCCTCGGCTCGATGCTAATCTGCATGAATAAGACCATTGCTCATCTTGCCTTATCTGATCGGTGGGCTTGCCAACTTTACCATGACCTTTGGGGATGGTCTGGGATTTCCGGCTGCACTTCACAAAGTCCTTCTTCACGTACGTTTGGATGCAAGTCTTGGACTCATCGAATCTGACCTTCTTCTTGACGACATTCGATGCAACCTTGTGGAATGTCCCTTCGTCATCACTCCATTCATGGACAAGTGCAGGAGTAGCCTTGGAGTTTGATGCTTCGGTGTTCGGAGCAGTGTTGAAAAGATGAGGATCGTGACGTTTGTTGCATTTGTCTCCATATCGGCACTTGCCATTGGCCCAGTGCCAGCACGGTTCATCAATTTTCTTAGTCTTGTTCGCTGGAGATTGACTTCTCGGAGTTCCTGGCTTTCGATCATTACCTTTCGTGTTCTTGTTCGCGTCAAACACCTTTTGGTCGTGACTGTATTCACAATCTTTGCCTTTTCTGCATGCTTTCTTGATGAAATGGAAATGACATGGGATCTTCTTCTTGGATCTCGGACTAGCACTTCGGCTGTTTGGCCGTCCGTTTCCTTTCCCTTGACCTTTCCCTTTTCCTTTTGCATGCTGTTTTGGTTGAGGTGATGGTAGAACTGGAGCTGCCTCAGCCTTGGCCTTCGCCTTAGGTGCTGCCTTCTCCTTGGGAGTGGCTTTAGCCTTCGCCTTCGGATTGGCATCTGGTGCAGCAGCAGTTGGATTCGGTGCAGGAGTAGTGGGTTTGCCACCACCTGCAAAGTCTCTTGCGTACTTCTCTCTGGCGGCCACATGCTTGTCTTCTCTGATTCTGGATATGTGCCTTTCGATGACGTCCAACAGGTAACGATAGCTTCGTCTTTGATCACCTTCGATCCATGACTCGTACTGCTTGATGTCGAACATCATGAGACTCGAATTTCGAATCTTCTTGTACAAGGCGTCACGAAACCAATCATCAGGAGGTACATCATCCGGCATCATATTTGACACCATCTCCATCCACTTCTCGTAGAACACTTCCAAGTTGGAGTCACCGAGATACTTCATCGATACGATGTGCTCCATGGTGAAGGCTGTCTCTCTTTGACCTGGTGTTCTGAAGTGTTCCAGAATCATAGCCAAAATTTCTCGTCCCATAACATAGGTCCCTCTCCGACTATGACTCTGTGTTCTCAATCTCAGTTTGATTGCTACATGACGAGCAACATCACCGGCTTGGGCTATCACGTTCGACAATGCGATTGACAACTTGGCGTCGATTGACTGGTAACGTTGCCCACCACTGTCATTAAGTAGCTCGATGTCAGGATTTGGCCGGATAGCCGGCTGTAACCATGCCTCCCATGCAGCTTTGTCTCCATCATTCGCGGCAAGAACAACACCCTTGATGAGATCTGACTGCCAAACCCCAAGGTTCTGTTGCTTCGGCCATGGGCTAACATAGACTTTGTCAGCCTCCCGCCTTGACATTCTCGGTACTTCTTCTGCCGTGTACGCCGCTGTGGAGATATCATCTGCTGAATCGCGTTGTGATCCCCGAACTGAAGGCAAACCAGGAGGTTCTGGAGGTGGTCCTGGACCGTTGGGCCCGAAAGGATCAGGAGGCCCATCAGGGTCAGGCGGACCGCCCCATCCGCTCGGAGGCTTGTAATAGTCCTTCTCAGTTCCATCGGCGATCTTGTTGTCAACTTCTCTCAGCAGATCGGTGATTCTTTTGTTCGATTGAGAAGGTTGCCGTTGAGAAGATCCAGCATGTCCGCGATAGGATTGAGCAGCATTTGTCTCGTAGGTCAACTCCTTGTCGATCTGCGATACCCAAGATTTTAGGATAGAGTTCTCAGAGTTAGCCTCACTCACCTCATTCTCCAGTTTGTCGATGACCAGTCTTGATGCGAGATCATAGTTGGGGATACCTGCCGAATAGGGAAGCGCATCAGGGTTGACCCTGGACATAGATGTTTCAGAATCCTTGAGACTCTTTCTCAGTTCATCTATGTGACGTTTCATGTCAATAATCTCAGAATTCTTGATACCAATCTTTTCATCCCTATCCTGAATTTCCCCCATGAACATGCATGATCTCTCATATTGCTGAACACCACTAGCCAATTTCATTTTGCGCTCACTTTCTAGTTCAGATCTTAAAGTTCGGACTTCAGCATTGGAGAAGGACGACGCCCCTACATCCGCAACTTCAGTCAATCTTTCTTTTAACAACATGTTCTCCTGTAAACATTCATGAACTTCATGGTCTAGATCCTGAACCCTGATTTGAGCGATTTTGGCTTGGTTCCGTAGATCCTCAACAAGCATCTCATCAGGGCCACGACCGTCGATCGTAGTGCCCTGAGTTAATGATCTTCGCAACTTCACGTTCTGCAATTTGATCTCATCCTTCAACTCACAGTTCATCTCCTGCTCGTTGGCGTAGAGCTCTTCATAGTGCTCTGCCCTTGCGATCGCATTTGCACTAGCCTGTGATTCAAGCCTCAGGTGTGATATCGCTTCGGCCTCGTGATTCCTGTATGATGCAATTCTTCTGACAGTATCATGTTCAGTGTTTCGGTGTTTCAGATCACTTTCCAATTTAGCCTGATTTGCCTCGAAAACCTTCTTTCTAGATTCTCTAGTGATCTCTTCAATACTGCTTTCATATAACTCGGCCTGTTTGCGAGACTGAACTAGAGCTTCACTCAATAGCTGATTCCGTTCAGACAATTCATGAACTGCAATTGATTGTTGTTGGCTAATCATTTCAAGTTGATTGCTTGAGAAGGATGCCATCTCGGATCGATTACGATATTCCATGATTGAGTTCTGGAAATCCGTCTGCATTTCTTGACCTTCAGTGTACAATCGGTTGGCAATATCGGTAGTCAAGACATTGGTCTGATGAAGTTGTTGTAGTCTTGCCTCCGTATTACCCAATAGTCCTTGAAGGTGATGTACTTCATCCTTGTACTCTTCCTGGATCTCCATACCGCGTTGATGGATCCGTCTTGCACCGTGTTCCATCAGGGCACCTCGGCGTTCAAGGTCTTGGATGCGTATTGTTGCACCTTCGTCTTCCTGAGATGCTACCATTAGTTCTGCTTGATACTCTGCAACCTCATTTGCGGAACATACAATCTATGATTGAGTGCATTGACCTCATCAAACACATTCTGGTTGTGTTCCTGAAGATATTCAGTGAATCTGATCTCGATGTCATGAATCAGTTGATCTCTTGATGCAGCATATGCTTCCATGTTGTTCAACTGATTACGTAAGGATTGACATTGTGCCCGTAGTTCTTCTATCATGGCAATAGGTTCACTAGCCACAGAAGTATCCGTTGATCTCCTCTTAACGCGAGTGTCCCCGGTCCTCTCACCAATTCGGTCGGTTCCGGCCCTGGTGGATCTGTCCCTTGGGGTAGTTCGTCCTCGAGATGGTCGGTGCCCTTGGCGGACAACATCACTTCGAGCACTGTTTCGAGAAGATCTTGGTGTACTTTGGGTGGATATTCTTCGTCTGTTTGATGTAACTTGACATCCGGACTGTGTAGTTCGGGTAGAGCGTATCCCACCACTGTCTGCTGTGTCGCCAGGGGAAGATTGAGTGACTTCCTCGACCGGCATAGCAGCATTCTCGTTGAAGGTAAACTGCGTGTTGCGCGAGTCTCCGCTGCCGCCCTGCATCTTTGCGATGATGAGCTGATTGGTCCTTTGCGTCCACAATCTTAAGCTCAGACGGCCCGGCTACCAGCACGCAGGTACTCCTCTTCCGACGGAAGAAGTGAGCCCTTACGGCTGATAACCTGTGAGCAATTTAATCCTTGTTCTGGATTATCCCTTTTTGATTGGAATACCTGTTGTGCTGGTAATGCTGAGCAACGTCACGGCATGGCAGTCGGAGACCGATCTTTTTCCTCACGCATGATCTTGAGCCAAAGTAATTGGCGGTACATGCATACTTGTTTCCTACCCTACATGCTCAGCATGTTGAGTGACTGTATGGTCTAGTTCCCTTTCGCAATATATATATGTATATATATATATATGTATATACACATATGTATATACATATATGTATATAAATATTAATATATATATATATGTATATATATATATATATAAATGATCAATAATGATCAGCAATATTGGAATATATAACGGACTTTCCCATTGGTCATGAATAGGATGACCAAAAATAGTCCTTGGAAAATCTGGGGGTCGCCTTGGTCCATGGACTTTGCCATTGGGACCCGTCGCGTTCGTGGCCATCCTGAGATCCATGCTGGGTGCTGGTCATCTTCTCGGAGAAATTGTCAAACTCGTCCTGGCGGAGGATGGATGGATCATGATAGATCTGGGCTTTTTTTCGAGGGCTGGTAGGACAATATCTGGTTGGTGATTGACCTACCTGACCTACCCCTCTTAAAAATGTGAAAATCAGTTGGGATTGTTATTCCCAACATATGGAAAATAAAAAATGTACCAAAAAAAAGTTGCTGAGTTCTTGCGGATATGCAGCCTTCAAAGACTTGAAGTGATCAAGCATCTGCTGGACATTCTCCGCGCATCAGCTGCAACCCTTCGGCTTATCTTTTCAGATGGGCCTTGTACTTGTCAGCCAGCCAGTCCATCAACGGAATGCTGTAGAACTCTTGATGAGGCGGCCTTGGCTCTGAAAACAGCATCTCTCCGGTCGTCCTTTCACACAGTGATCAGGGAATGGACGCGAAAATGGATTTTTCTCTCGCCAGTGCATTGGTTCATGAAATCGATTCGTGCAAGCGAATTAATTAATGCCACAGGGCAAGGAGTAAACAGTGCAGTGGTGTAAGCGGTGTGCTGCTCGCTTGTAGACGTCTCCAGCCCGGTGCATCCCATGAAAAAGCTGAGTGTGTTTCCAATATGAATCATCATCCCATCTTCAACTTCCAAAACCAAACAACATGGACCGCAACTGGAGCACCGGGGCTCTTTGGGAAGACGTGAGCATTGCCACAGTCAACTTCTGTTGCCCCCACTGGCTAAGGGATTGAAGTGGACTAAATTATTAAGACTCAATAAAGCACTAAAGTAGAATATAATCCTACGAGACGCATCAAGCGACATCGTCTTTTTGGGTATTGCCGGCATTGCTCATTTGGGAACAGCAGCACCACTTTCCTTACGGCCTGGTTTGACATTGACATTTCACCGAGTTCACCGCAGGAGTTTCGAACAACGAGTTCTGCGTCAATCTTTTGCGACGGCACCAGCTTCTGCAGCAAAACCATTGAAGACCTGCTCCAGTGATGACTGGCCTTAGATGGCGGGGGTGGGCTACCTGGTTACAATGATGATATATGATGATGTAAGATGTATGATGATAAATGAAATGTGATAGTGATGATCATGATACTGTATATGATGATACTATGGGGCGTTTGATTTTTCAAGCGAGTTGAAACATTTGAAACTACCAATTGATCACATGACCGTTGCTTTTGGGCTAGAAGATGCTAGAGGCCTGGAGGATTCAGAAAGTGCTGCAGCCACTGCAGCCACGGTGCATACTGCGAAGTCGCTGAGGCAAAAGCGGGCTTTTTCCTGTGGGGAGGGGAAGCGCTGAGGTCAACCCGAAGCTTAGGGGTTAGCCGAGTCACCCACAGAGACACTCCAAAACCTGAAAGTTCGGTTAAAATACACTTATATAAATGTTCAAATACGCATTCTTAAACAACATCTCTCTTTCTTATACATCTCTTGTATATTCTTAGATCATCTCCATCTTGGGCATCCAAATCATCCAAGCACTTCTTCCCTTCCCATGGTTCCCATGGTTCCCATGGGTTCCATGGGTTCCTTGCTCAAGGTCGCAAAGAGCTCCGGTAATTGCTCCTCCCCCGCCGCCGACAGCCGCAGCTTCAGAGAGGAGCCGTGGCTCTCCAGCACGATGACCTGGTCAATACCCTCTGGTAAAAGTTTACTAATGGGAAAATCCACTAAAAATAGATGGCAATAGATGTCAATAGCACTCAATTCAGCTTTCTAGATCTTTCAGATGATCTTTCTAGATCTTTCTAGTCAATCTGATTGAATCTCTTTGTTTGTTTGTTTCTCTTGAAACATCTTGAAACCAGCAAATTCACGGCACTCTGCTTCCACACCTCGCCCAGGTTCAAATGTCCCAAGCCATCCGTAGAGGAGAAAAAACCTGGTGGATTGGTTGACCAATGCTCCATTTTCTGTACTGCTTGTGCTCATTCTTCATCAGTTTTGCTTGAAATCCACCATGTTCTTTCCTTTGCCTCAAGGTTTTCATAGGTTTTCATAGGTTTTCCTCGTTGAAATCCCCCCCGATTGGTCCCCCATGGCAAAAAAAGGTCCCCCTCCTTTCAAATCCGCCAGGCGTTGTTGCATCACCATCCATTCCGCCAACACCTCCGCAGCAACTTCCTGGCGCGGGCTTTCAACATGTGCCCAAACACGTTAGGTGATGAAACATCGACGAAAATGGATGACACATTAATTATATGAATTATAGTATGATGATATCCCCAAATGAGTAAATATTATTCATTTTGGTATATTATGTATTATCTATTCATTATATGAAGATCGTAAAATAGATAGAAATATATAAGAACGGATTATGTATGATTATATCCCAAAAAGGAATGCCCATTATATATATATATATATCAATGATGTATCTCATTCGGTCTCATTGATATGGTCAACCCAATTTCATAAACCACCCGCAATTTCAACAGAAATGAGAGTATTCACCATCAAAAATGTTGTGGAGTCCATTGTGGAGTTATTCTTGGGATTTATTGGGTTTAGGATCAGGATGGTTTAGGATAGATAGAAGATATGGATAACTGTGGAGAACGACAATCGATGCCACGCTGATCCCCGGAAGTCCTGTTGCCCCTCGGGAATCGGCCCGGAGGCTGAAGTGGCTGCAGGGACCATGTCGATCCATAAGGCCCGGATTGCCTTCAAGGATCAGGGTGGGGCACTGTTTGGAACTAAGATGAACCAAGCAGTGACTCGGCAACCGGTGACTCAGTGGGGTTTCAGTGTACTGTATACATTAATGAAACATTACATTAATGTATACACATGGTACGCCTGCATGTATTCCTTCATATTCCTTCATGTTTGTTCACTTCTTTTGTGCAGGAAGTAGCTATGAAACGACTTCAAAGCTGCCAATATCTGCCAATCATCCCAATTTGGGCGGCAACGTTTTCCTGCCTCATCCCTCGACATCATGGTGTACCCGCCGCGATCCAATTCTCGGCCTGGCGTGGTGGCTCCGCCAAAATCCTCACGTCTGCTGTTGATGTCCCACTTTTTTCACTTTTTTGGGGGTGAACTGAACTACCATGTTATCCCTCATATCTATCCATTTGCATAACAAAACATCAATAAAACTCCGTTTTGGTGCCAGTGATCCTAGCTTCCCAACCCGTCAAGCACGAGATTTCGCCTGCAGGCAGCAAGACCATGGCTTTCTGGGCCAAAGCGTCCTTGTCCACGGGAAGGAACTTGGCTCCCAGCTCGTATCCTGCGGGGTTCCTTTACGTAAAATGGGTAAAACAATATCATCCAAAATCATATCATATAGTGACTCTATTTTTGTTGGGCAAAAACGTAGTGAATCCCATTGTTTCGGGAACGCTACGTGGGTTCCGACGCCGGTTCCCGCATCCTGAGCCATACCTGGATTTCAGGTGCTGGGCGGAACCAAAGCAGCGGAATTGGCCGTCCACTTGGATGGCAATTTGGCTGCACAGGGCCTCAAATCCGTCCATGCGGCGGAACATGTCACACTAATTGATGGTTGATCATCATCGATCATCATAATATCATCATTTATTATATTATAATATCATGCTGTGAATGAAAATTGCAAAATACATGGGGGATGCCCTATTTTCAAAGCAGATCAGGTCCGCCTCCGCTTCCTCCATGGAGTGTGTCGTCAACACCACCACGCTCTGTTTCCTCTTTTCAGCCATATCCTGACTGGAGCTACGGAGCTGACAACGCGACCTGAATTTGCCGCTCACTTAGGGATGCAAAGAAAAGAAAGGATCCACAAAAAGCCCGTTCAAGTCACCCTTTCCAACTACAAGATGATCAAAGGAAGTTGGGAAGCAATCTTCCGAGTTACGGATGACTTTTACCTGTAACAATACACTCAATGAAGGGTGGTGTGAGACTTTTGCGTGAGACTTTACATCACATAAGAATATTGGTGTGAGACTTTGGTGTGAGACTTTACATCACATAAGAATATACTTAATGCAGGGTGGTGTCAGACTTTGGTGTGAGACTTTGGTGTGAAACTTTGGTGTGAAAATTTACATCAGGGGTAACGTAGGTTGGGGAGGAAGCCGGAGCACGAAACCTTGCATTTTTAGTAAAGTGGGTGCAGGCGGCGATGAAAGGCACCTCGTGTGTGCGGCGGGTGCGGCTGGGGTCGTTCCGGACGCAATGGGTTCCTCCTCTGTGTTCTGCAACGAGTGGTTGTTCCTGTGTGCGTAGTTCTATATTTGCGTGTCTTGAATCTGTGGTTGCAGATCTCAGTGGAATAGCTGGTTGATTGTTGTCATCTGATGTTGCCATGTGCGTAGATATGTGCAGGTTTGCAACACTATGCGGCAAAACGCATTGTAATGGCCGCGTGAATGTTGCATGGGGCTTGTGTTGGGGAGGAAGCCGGAGCACGAAACCTTGTATTTTTCCGTGTACAGTGGTTGCAGGCTGCGATGAAAGGTACCTCGTGTGTGCGGCGGGTGCGGCTGGGGTCGTTCCGGACGCGATGGGTTCCTCCTCTGTGTTCTGCAACGGGTGGTTGTTCCTATGTGCTTAGTTCGATGCGTGTCTTGAATCTGTGGTTGCAGATCTCAGTGGAATGGCTGGTTGATTGTTGTCATCTGATGTTGCCATGTGCGTTGATATGTGCAGGTTTGCAACACTATGCGGCAAAACGCATTGTAATGGCCGCGTGAATGTTGCATGGGGCTTGTGTTGGGGAGGAAGCCGGAGCACGAAACCTTGTATTTTTCCGTGTACAGTGGTTGCAGGCTGCGATGAAAGGTACCTCGTGTGTGCGGCGGGTGCGGCTGGGGTCGTTCCGGACGCGATTGGTTCCTCCTCTGTGTTCTGCAAAGAGTGGTTGTTCCTGTGCGTGTGGTGCGAAACGCATTGTAGTGGCTGCGTCAAGGTTGCGTGGTACCACGGCTGCATGCGTAATACTATTGTCTTTTGCAGCTGAAGCTCCAAAATAGTATTGGAGTGGCTGCATCAAGGCTGCGACAGTGATTTGTGAGCAGATTGCGCAATTTTGGTGCTAGTAATTTTCCTTTCAAAAGTCCTTTTAAAAAATGCTTCAAAATCGTCTTTTTTCCCAAGAGCGTCTGAGCGCAGGGGTTCTTCTAATAGTGGGGGTCTGTGAAACATCTTCTCATCTTCACATATCTTCCCATCATCACATCCTCACATCTTCACATCTGTGCATCTTCACATCTTCTCATCATCACATCTTCACATTCTCTCTTGCTCTCTTGCCCTCTTGCTCTCTTGCCATCTTGCTCCCTCCTTCTTTTCTATTTCTCTCTTGACGGCGCGTGGCAGTGCCAACGAGACGCCACGAAATGTAACCCTTTCGCACGAAATGAGGTTCGATCGCTAAAAACTGATGTAAAATTGCGATTTGTAAGTGTCCGGCGCAACCTTTCACACGAAATGAGGTTCGATCGCCAAAAACTGATGTAAAATTGCGATTTGTAAGTGTCCGGCGCAACCCTTTCGCACGAAATGAGGTTCGATCACCGAAAACTGATGTAAAATTGCGATTTGCAAAGCGTCCGCCGCAACCCTTTTACACGAAATGAGGTTCGATCGCCAAAAACTGATGTAAAATTGCGATTTGCAAAGCGTCCGGCGCAACCCTTTCGCACGAAATGAGGTTCGATCGCCAAAAACTCAAGTAAAATTGCGATTTCCGGGTTCCCGTCGCAACTTCGCACGAAATGAGGTTCGATCGCCAAAAACTGATGTAAAATTGCGATTTGTAAGTGTCCGGCGCAACCCTTTCACACGAAATGAGGTTCGATCGCCAAAAACTGATGTAAAATTGCGATTTGTAAGTGTCCGGCGCAACCCTTTCGCACGAAATGAGGTTCGATCACCGAAAATTGATGTAAAATTGCGATTTGCAAAGTGTCCGGTGCAACCCTTTTCGCACGAAATGAGGTTCGATCGCCAAAATTAAATTGAGGTAAAATTGCGATGTCATGGGTCCATGGGTTCGGTCTCTGTGTGTGAAAGTGTTTGTGTGTAAAAGCTTCTGTGCGAAAGCTTCTGTCTGTAAAAGCTTCTGTGTGTGAAAGCTTCTGTGTGTCAGTGTTTGTGTGTAAACGCCTCTGTGTGTAAAAGCGTCTGTGTGTAAAAGCTTCTGTGTGTAAAAGTCTCTGTGTGTAAAAAGTGTTTGTGTGTGTCAAAGTGTCTGTGTGTAAAAGTGTCTGTGTGTAAACGCGTCTGTGTGTCAAATTCTGTGTATGTAAAAAGCTCCTGTGTGTAAAAGCCTCTGTGTGTGCAAGCTTCTGTGTGTAAAAGCCTCTTTGTGTCAAACGGCTGTGCAAAAGTGTCTGTGTGTAAAAGCGTCTGTGTGTAAAAGTGTCTGTGTGTAAAAGCGTTTGTGTGTAAAAGTCTGTGTGTGTAAAAGCAGTCAGAATCACCGAACTGTGCAGCACTCAGAATTTGATTCGTGTCTCAGCTGCCACTGCAGCACGCGGGGCTCAAGACGTCATCCGCCGCCTGGTCGCTACAAATTGCGCAGCGCTCAGAGTCAAGAAACAGCTTCAGAAGGAAGTCGAAATGTATGCGGATTAGTCGAAGGATCAGTTGGTTTGGAAATTAAGATGAATGTTTGATTAGGATGTGTGTAAAAGCATCTGTGTGTAAAAGTCTCTGTGTGCAAAAGCGTCTGTTTGTAAAAAGCTCTGTGTGTGAAAAACTGTACGAAATTTACGATGCAAACTATGTTCTTGTGTTTGTGATATATTATTGTCTTGATACTATTCGTCTCGTCTGCCTATAATACATCTTTAATATATTGTCTTGTAATATAGTGTCTCCATACAAACAACAGAAGACTCTGCTCCTCTACGCTCTCGGGCCATCCGTTGTCTAGTTTCGCTTTGGTACTAAGTAGTACTGGGAAGTGCTTTGTGCAAGCTTTGTAGTACAAAGTAGTAGTGGAACGTGCTTTGTGCAAGCTGTGTAGTAGAAAGTAGTGCTGGGACATAGTTTGTGCAAAGCTTTGTAGTGCATAGTAGTACTCGGAACGATTTTGTGCAAGCCTTATAGTACAAAGTAGTATTGGGAAGTGCTTTGTGCAAGCTTTGTAGTACAAAGGGGAGTGCTCTGTGCAAGCATTGTAGTACAAAGTAGTACTGGGAAGTGGTTTGTGCAGGCTTTGTAGTACAAAGTAGTACTGGGAAGTCCTTTGTGCAAGCTTTGTAGTACAAAGTAGTACTGGGAAGTACTTTTTGCAAGTTTTGTAGTACAAAGTAGTGCTGGGAAGTGATTTGTGCAAGCTTTGTAGTACAAAGTAGTACTGGAAAGTGCTTTGTGCAAGCTTTGTAGTACAAAGTAGTACTGGAACGTGCTTTGTGCAAGTTTTGTAGTACAAAGTAGTGCTGGAACGTGCTTTGTGCAAGCTTTGTAGTACAAAGTAGTACTGGGAAGTGCTTTGTGCAAGCTTTGTAGTACAAAGTAGTACTGGAACGTGCTTTGTGCAAGTTTTGTAGTACAAAGTAGTACTGGGAAGTGGTTTGTGCAGGCTTTGTAGTACAAAGTAGTACTGGGAAGTCCTTTGTGCAAGCTTTGTAGTACAAAGTAGTACTGGGAAGTCCTTTGTGCAAGCTTTGTAGTACAAAGTAGTGCTGGGAAGTGATTTGTGCAAGCTTTGTAGTACAAAGTAGTACTGGGAAGTGCTTTGTGCAAGTCTTGTAGTACAAAGTAGTGCTGGAAAGGACTTTGTGCAAGCTTTGTAGTACAAAGTAGTACTGGGATACTGGGAAGTACTGTGTGCAAGCTTTGCGGTCCAAGGTAGTACTGGGACGTACTTTGTGCAAATAACCGGATGGAAGCTTGGATGACATGTGAGAAGAGATGAGATGAGAAGAGATGAGCTGGGATAAGGTGAGAAGAGCTCAGAGGATGTGAAGTGTGGAGTGTGGAGTGTGAAGAGTGCAGTGTGAAGTGTGGGGCGTGAAGAGCGCAGTGTGAGTGTGAAGAGTCCATGGTGTAGTGTGGAGTGTGAAGTGTGAAGTGTGGAGTGTGAAGAAAGCAGTGAGAAGTGTGGACTGTGAAGTGCGGAGTGTGAAGTGTGAAGTGTGAAGTGTGGAGTCGCGCAGTGTGAACTGAAGTGTGGAGTGCGAAGAGTGCAGTGTGAAGTGTGAAGTGTGGAGTGTGAAGTGTGAAGTGTGGAGTGTGAAGATTGCAGTGAGAAGTGTGAAGTGCGAAGTGGAGCTTCAAAAGTGGCATGTGAAACAGGACACCGCTTTCGCAGAATGCACGCACGCAAGGGCCTGGCTGGCGCACGGTGCATGCAAGTTCTATAGATGAGAAAGGTCTTATAGTATATCCCTAAGGCAAGTTCCGCCCCGCCTCGTGCGGGTACTACTGGTAATTCTGAGATTCACTTTTCGAAAATATGTTTGAGCATCTGAGGATCACTATAGTGAAGGAAGTCAGCTGAACGATATGCCGATATGCTTCTTCAGCGGAATCAGCTCGGAAAACTAGAGATATCTCTGTCCTGGATCACTCCCCACATGAATCGTCGAGCGAAGGGATCCATGCCTGAAACGGGGCGGCACTTGTCTGATGTGGCCTCCAGGCCCCGCAAAACAATTTTGAAACTGGAAAAGTTTTTCTGTTTCTAAGCTGATGAAAGTTGATCATTGCATCTACGATTTGTCTGCAACATCCTGGGGTTTCCCATGCCTGTGCTTGGCTCGTCCAAGAAGATCACAGGAGGCTCACCAATCAAAGCCATGGCCACCGACAACTTGCGTTTGTTTCCTGGGAACCCCAACTTGTCTGATGGATTTGGTGTATGGGATGTGGATGGTGATCCTGAATGGATTTTTGGGGGACTCCCGCGGTGTCACTGCTGATATCTGCTATTCTTTGTGGGGGAATTGTGGGGGAGCTACCTGCTGATTTCTCCGTCGAGTGCATTTTCCAGAAAAAGATAGCCTTCTCTTGGTTTTGTCTGGGCAGCAGTTTATTCTATCTGTTTTGCAACCAGTCTTGATAGGTTTAGATCGTCTAGATATCTTTAGATCAGCTAGATTCTCGCTGGTTTTCTCGTTGGTCCAAAAACCCAATTCCGATGGCTCCTCCTGAGAGCGTGCCAGCCCGCCGTGTGCGGTACATCTCCAACTGCATCTCACTGATCTTCTCATCGACCTGGTGACAAACTGCGGGCACCGATGGCAACCGGGTGGAATGAGATCCTGAAGGCGATGTTCTAATTGGATTCCTGGCCATGCGTGAATGGCTGAAAACCATTGAAAAACATGAAAAACAATGTTTTCATTATGTGATGGTTTCCCAAAGCAACTGTTTGCAAGCCGAAGCACTGCAGTTTTCAAGTCTTTGCCAGTAATGCCTTGCGCATCAACCATCAGAGGGTGACATGGACATAAGCCACGGTGTGGAAGAAAATTGAGATGCACAAAAATGCAATATGAAAAGAATATGGTACACACACAAATGTGCGCATGTAGTTTCAACAATATAGTCATATCAAAAATGGGCAGAGTCTATGAGTCCCAAAGTCATCAAAGTCCAAATTGTCCATCACTCCTGGGCATGGCAAGAAAGGAGCTGCCGGAGGACACCAGTTTCATCACCGGCCTTTCATGCGGCCGTAGAGGTATAAGTGAGATTCTACCGTCATGACGTGGATCAGAGCATCGAACTGAGGACAATAGCCTCAGTAGAAATCAAGAGATGCCAGGGATGCTGACATCCTGGCAGCAATGCATTGGTTTGTTCGGCAAAATTGAAACCGGAAAGCCCCAGATTTCACGGGAAAATCGATGGTTTCAATCCATTGATGGCATCCTGGTTGATCCCAGCCTCGCCACCAAGGCATACCAAGGCACCAATTAGACGCCGTGCGCTGCTGGTTTCCTCCATCATGTCGATTCCTCTAGTGCAGCTGGGGCACGAGAATATCATTTAAACATATTTAAAAGGGTGTAGAATAGTTTTTGGATTTTTTTGGCCTCAGGTTTTGGATTTTTTTTTGCTTTCTTTCCCAGCACCATTTGCCTTGTATTTGCAACAGTTTGGGACTAGAACCTGTCATTTTGCATGGTATTTGCTACATTTTGGCATGGTCACTTTGCATTTTGCATGGTATTTGCTACATTTGGCCATGTTCGCCTTCCATTTTGCATGGTATTTGTCACATTTTGGCATTTCGACCTCTCATTTGCATGGTATTTGCTACATTTGGTGCTTCAAACGTTCATGTGGGTCTCTTGAGGGTTCTTTAGGGTTTCATTTAAAGTTTCACCTGAGAGGAGGGGACAAAAAGCCAGGGACCAGTTGGAACGGAGACAGGAGAGTGGAGAGCATGGCAGGGATTGCGGTTGGGGGTTGGTTGAGGCATCGTTTGGGAGGCTGAGGAGCCGGCATGGTGAGGCCTGGTTTGGGTGCGCCCGTGGGGTGTCTTTGGAGAGAAGGAAAGAATGTGTAGGAAGAAGGAGCGGGGGAAAGAAGTGTTGTAATGGTTGGGAAAGGGTGAAGAATGTGTTTGAGGAAGTGGAATGGCGGGCTCTTTTAAAGAGGTTGTGGGGCGCAAAGGAGCCCAGAAGGGGAGAGGAGGTGTTGGCGGCAAGGGAGGGAAGGAGGAGTTGCTCAAGTTGAGGGTGATTCCAATCGCCATCCAATTGCGATCCAATCGCGCTCCAACCGCCCCAACAATACCACTCCTACTTGCATAGTTGCCTCAAATTGTCCACTTTTCCCCCAAATCCTCTGCTCTGGCTTCATTCCGAACGAGCAACCTCACCTTGCCTGGCCTGCAGCAACCATTCCAACCACATGCACCCCCGGCCACGCACCTCCCTCCTCCCACCGTCAGGCATCAGCAGCCATCTGCAACCTTCACCCTGCGGGCTCCTCTGCTTCCCAGCAGCCACCTAAAAGAGCCTCACCCCAAAAGGCCCGCCCACACGCTCTTTCTTCCCTCCAACCTTCGCGCCCCATCACACACCTCGCCCTGGAACGCCAATCCGTACGATTTATTTTATCCTTCCATTCCCTCAGTTTTTCCATTGTTTTTCCATGATTTTACTCGGTTTCTCCATCATTTTACCATCCATTCCAGTCTCCCCAATTGCACGTCGGAGGACGGACCAGGGGGGAATCGAACCCCACCGTCACCCAATTGCCACCTGGTACATCAGCCTCAAAATCGCTCAAAATCGACCACGGAGGCCACCCCAATTAGGTCCATGTTTTCAGCCACCGCCCCCCAGACCCCCTATTCTCACTTCGTTCGCAATGAGCAACTTCGCCATGCTTGACAGCTGGCTTTCGTAATTTAGGGTTTCATTAAGGATTTTATTTAGGGCTTCATATGAGGTTTCATTTAAGGTTTCATTTAGGGTTTCTTTAGGGTTTCATCTAGGGTTTCTTTAGGGTTTCATTTAGGGTTTCATTTAGGGTTTCATTTCTTTACGGTTTCATTTAGAGTTTCTTTAGGGTTAGGGTTTCTTTAGAGTTTCAATTAGTTTTTTTTTCCTGGTTCCATGTAGCGTCTCTTATCAGGATTTCTTATCAGGAGTTCTAAACGTTCAAATGGATTTCTTTATGGCTTCTTTAGCGTTTCATTTAGGGTGTCATATAGGGTTTCTTACATTTAGGGTTTCATTTAGGGTTTCTTTAGGGTTTGATTTAGGGTTTCAATTTAGGGTCTCATTTAATTTAGGGCTTCTTTAGGGTTTCATTTATGGTTTCTGTAGCGTTTCAATTTAGGGTTTCAATTTAAGGTTTCATTCAGGAGTTCGTTTAAGCTTTCTTTAGGGATTCATCCCAGTGTTTCTTATCAGTATTTCTCTTCATGATTTCTAAAAACGTTCAAGTGGGTTCCTTTAGGGTTCCTTTAGGGTTTCATTTAGGGTGTCATTTAGGGTTTCTTTATGTTTCTTTAGGGTTTCGTTTGGGGTTTTATTCAGGGTTTCATTTAGGGTTTCAGTTGGGGTCTCATTTAAACTTTAGGGCTTCATTTAAGGTTTCTTTAGCGTTTCAATTTAAGTTTCAATTCAAGGTTTCATTCAGGAGTTCATTTAAGCTTTCTGTAGCGTTTCATTCCAGGGTTTCTTAGCAGGATTTCTTTTCACGATTTCTAAAAACGTTCAAGTGGGTTCCTTTAGGGTTTCATTTCGGGTGTCATTTAGGGTGTCATTTAGGGTGTCATTTAGGGTTTCGTTTAGGGTTTCGTTTAGGGTTTCGTTCAAGGTTTCATGTAGGGTTTCATTTAGGGTTTCTTTAGGGTTTCAGTTTGGGTCTCATTTAAGGTTTCCTTAGGGTTTCGTTTAGGGTTTCTTTAGGGTTTCATTTAGGGTTTCTTTAGCTTTTGAATTTGGAGTTTCAATTTGAGGTTTCATTCAGGAGTTCATTTTAGCTTTCTTTAGGGTTTCATTCCAGGGTTTCTTATCAAGACGTCTTTTCACGATTTCTAAAAATGTTCAAGTGGGTTCCTTTAGGGTTTCATTTAGGGTTTCTTTAGGGTTTCATTTAGGGTTTCTTTAGGGTGTCAACTTAGGGTTTCAGCTAAGGTGTCAAGTAAGGTTTCATTTAGTTTTTTTTGGATTGTTTAGGGTTTCTTTGGGATGTCATTTAGGGTGTCATTTAAAGTTTCTTTTAGGGTTGCTTTTTTTGTTTCTTTAGGATTATATAATTTATGGTTTCTTTAGGGTTCATTTATGGTTTCTTTAGGGTTCATTTAGGGCTTCATGTAGGGTTTCTTATCAGGATTTTTTTAGGGTTTCTTTGGGTTTCACCTAGGGTCTCTCTAGGGTTTCATTTAGGATACAAACAGAACAGAGGGTCTCTCTAGGGTTTCATTTAGGATACAAACAGAACAGAATAATGCAAAAGAAAATGAAAAACAAAGAGACAGTAAAGACAGGAAGCAAAGAAGCAAAGGAGCAGGAAGTAGAGCAGCAAAAACACATGACTGAAGAAAAGAACAAGTAGAATAGTAGAAGTGGAAAGGACCAGGGGTACACAAGCAGAGAAGCAGGGAAAACAGAGAAGCAGAAAAGCAAAGAAGCAGGAAAAGCAAAAAGCAGAAAAGCGGAAAAGCAGAGAAGCAGGAAAAGCAGAGAAGCAGGGACAGCAGGGAAAACAAAAAGCAGAAAAGCAGAGAAAAGCAGGAAAAGCAGAGAAGCAATGTAAGCAGAGAAGCAGAGAAGCAGAAAATCAGAGAAACAGGAAAGCATAGAACCAGGAACCCAAGAAAATAAAATAAATAGCCCTCCTATTTAAAATCCGCCCACACCGCTTTGGCGGTGAAGGCGTGCTTATTGGGGGGCAAAACAGCAACACTAAATGCTCAATGACATTTGTTAATATAGCAGTCGCTATATCAGCTTTAGCTGGGGGGGGGGGCAAAAACGGTTTCGCACCGAGACCCGGTTTCGCACCGAGACCAGAATACGGTGGTGTTTTCGACATTTTTCGAGGATTTTTGGGTGTCTGAGCGCAAGAGGGTATTGAAATGGAATTTTGGGTCATTTTGGTAGCTTTCCGGCAATGGAAAAACGGCCAAAAATGAAAAAAACATTGTACATAGCAAGATTTTGCAGGGTTTTTGGATGCCAGAGCATTGAAAACACTGCAAAAACAAGTGTTTTGGACTGACGTTATAGCAAAAAACGTGTAAATTACCGTATGCTTGACTGGAAACATTACAAAAACACTGTCAAAAGCAATGTTTTGGAAGGATTTACTGCCTTTATGGCAAAAAACGTGTAAATTACCGTCTGTTTGACTGGAAACATTGGAAAAACACTGTCAAAAACAATGTTTTGGAAGGATTTCTTATATATATGTTGGAGTTGGCTACCGGCATTGGAACATGGAAAAATTGAAGAAAACACTGTAAATAGCGGTATTTTCAACGGTTGGGGAGATAAGGGAAGTGGAAGCATTGTCGAACATGATGTTTTCGACCGGTTTTATGGCGACAAAAGTGTAAAGTACCGTGCTTTGAAGGAAACCATTGCAAAAACATGGAAACACATTCAAAGAACACGGGATTTGGGGGACTATCTAGGCGTCGTTGTCTAGCTATTTGAAATTCCGCAGCTTGGAGAGCCTCCAAGGGAGGGAAAAGTGAAAATTCCATAGCTTGGGAAGCTGTCACGGCGGGGAAAAGTGAAAATTCCCTAGCTTGGGAAGCCCCCACGGGGGGGAAAAGTGAAAATTCCCTAGCTTGGGGAGCCCCCACGGGGGGGAAAAGTGAAAATTCCCTAGCTTGGGGAGCCCCCACGGGGGGGAAAAGTGAAAATTCCCTAGCTTGGGGAGCCCCCACGGGGGGGAAAAGTGAAAATTCCCTAGCTTGGGGAGCCCCCACGGGGGGGAAAAGTGAAAATTCCCTAGCTTGGGGAGCCCCCACGGGGGGGGAAAGTGAACATTCTTAGCTTGGGGAGCCCCCACGGGGGAAAACCACCCTTAGCCCCTCTCACGGACCGAAATAAACCTGCGGTGTGGGCGGCCACCCCACGCGAAGCGGGGTGAATATCATATGGATTCATATGGATCATATTTAATCATGCTATCAGAGCTGCTATCATATGCTATCCACAGATTTCATCTGTCTCAGTCCGTCTTTGTCTCTCTCTCTCCCTCTCTCTCTTTCCATCGCCATCACGTAGAGTGAGACTGCCAGAGGCAGAGGCCAGCATGTGGCCACCCAACGTGGAGTCAGCGTCTTGACTCAGTACGTCTCAGTATCTGCCTTTCTGTAACCATCCAATTTGGATGAATTTGGTCCAATTTTGGAGATTTTTTTTTTCACCCATAAGTCCCATAAGCCCAAAAACGCTGGACCATGGCGGCCATAGGCTGAAATACTTTGCTGACACGCATGAAACACCATGAAACGCCATAAAACAACCTCAGCCAAGCTTCCAAGGATGCGCACCTCTCCCGCCGAGGGTGTCAAGATGCCCGACATCATTTTAAAGGAGGTGGTCTTGCCCGCACCGTTCACACCCAGCAAGCCAAAGACCATGCCCTGACAGGTCGGGGAAGCCTGGAACCCCCAAACCTTCCAATTAAATCCAACTGATCCATAACCAAATCGCAGGTTGAACCCTTCACGGGGCATAATTTGTTAAGGCTAAGGGTCTCTGAGACACGCATCTCCGTGTTGGAAAATCAGAACCAAGAAGAGTAGTGCTAAGGGCATGACACCCCGAAGAAAGCTCACGTGGAACCTGGAAAAAGATGCCCAATAATGTTGAATCCTGTGTTAACTTTTGTTAAATTAGTAGATGTCTGGGGAAGCAGCATCTGTCCCCAAGTTTGGCCCATGAAGAAACATGATATTTCCGACCTGATCAGCAGCCCAGGTGACTCCGCGCACAGCATGTGTAACCTGGGAAGGCAGATCCAGTTCTCACGTGACACTCTCGGCACCCTTTCGAATAAGACCTCAATTATGTACTGATCATGGACCCGGACATTCTATATTTGTTCTTAATGCGTGGAAGCCTATATGCCAGGATCCTGTACATTCCTATACGGGGCTAAAAAATTGACAAACTATACGCTAAACTCATGACTTACCAACGGCTTGTTTTCCCATTTAGTGACATGGAAATGCAGCACCCGAGCCACATGGCTGGAGAAGATAGAGCCATAGGCCTTGCGTAAACCGTTCACGTACATCACCTGCTTTCGTGGATCGACTTGTTGAACTCGCTCCTTCTCGGCTTTGACATCCTCGTCCTGCGCATTGGCATCACCGATATCACAGTTTGACGTTTAACCATGTTTAACCATGTTTAACCATGTTTAACACTTAGCATCATTCAGCCAACGCTTTTCAGATCTTTTCTCCTTCCATCCCAAGATTCCCGGATTTTGAGTCCTCCAATTTCAACAGCTCTGGTGGAACAGGGTTCGACTTGGTGAACCTGCGCGCAATCATCGGGCTTTCACTCAGAGACTCAAGGACAATGACCATCAGCGGGAAGAGGACGCACCTGGTCCACTGGAGCTCAGCTGGCTTCAACATGTTTCAACTAATCCCATGGGTCCAAATATATATAATTATATATGTATGTATATATGTATGTACGTACGTACGTACGTATGTATGTATGTATGTTTGTTTGTTTGTATGTTATATATATATATATTTGCTAACCCCCCCAGAACCGGTTAAAACAACATTTCCACTTTTTTTTTGCCAGGGCTTCTCAGAGGATTTGCCCCACCACACTGCCCGCATCTTCGCGCAGGCAAGGGTTGCCAGTTGAGCGTGACATGAAATGACAAAGTTAAGTCTAAAGAGCAAGATTAGGTTGTACAAAATGAGTGAAACACCGTCGTAAACTACTGTGCTTACACTCAGATGTATTCAATGGGGATATTTACAATAAAAACCACACTTTTGTGGTCGATTACTTTGCAACAAGTTTTACTGATATATACATATGCGAATGACCCTCTTCATAATTTACTTTTGATGGTATATTAACATGTATGCGTTATAGTAACATAGTTCGTGTAGGTCAAATGTAAGTATTGCAGGAACATGATACCTATAGGTCATCACACGCGACTCGCAATGAAACCTTCACAATTACCGGGGAAGGGATATAAAGAAGGACATGCTTGCTATGGAAAAGCAGATGACCAACAGAAGTAAGAGTTAGTTGTTTGGTATGGAATCATTGGGTCTGCAGATGTCTTGAGTGAGAAATACCGAAAGAAGCGAGATGTGGTTGTTTGGCATTGAGCGCGCAGATGTTTTGAATGAACTATTGCTTGCTGGAGTGGAGAACTGATGTGAACATGGTGGACATGGCGGCAAGCAAGCACAGTGATTTATGTTGATCCATGTTCCTTCAGAGGTCTAGGCACGCAGGTCTGCCAGCATTGTGGCCGTTGCATTCCACAAATTGGCACCTTTATGCCAATATGTCCACTGTGCTGCGCGGATCTTGCGTTTGAGGACACAAGAACCGACGCTGCGAGTGGCATGTTTCAAGTAGGCACGCAAGTGTCCCCAAAAGCGAAGCGCGACGAAAAGTAAAGCGCACCAGGCCCATGTTGTAGTACAAAGACCAGCGAGGCAAACTTTGGGAGCTGCTAATGGCTACGGGAGAAAAAGCATTGAGAACATAAAACAATTCGATTTTGTCGCGAAGCAAAAAAACAAATTAAAACAACAAAAACATATTCTAAAGGTCTTGGGGATGGGGGGGATTGGCACAAACCAACAAAAGCATCGAGAAAAAAAAAAACAAGAAAACCAATATTCCAGAGGTCTTGGGGATGGGGGGGATTGGCACAAAGCAAAAAAAAACATCGAGAAAACCAAAAAAAACAAAAAAACAAAAACAATATTCCAGAGGTCTTGGGATGGGGGGGGTCCCACCAAGAGTTTCCAAATATTGTTTTTTTGTTTTTTTTTGGTTTTCTCGATGTTTTTTTGGTTTTCTGGCCAAAAATGCAAAAACCTTTGGGAAAACAAAAAAAAAAACATATTCCAGAGGTCTTGGGGACGGGGGGGTAGAACCAAGAGTTTCCACATATTGTTTTTTCTTGTTTTTCTCAATGTTTTTTTGATTTCTCTCCATGGGGTCCTCCCCAAAGAGACTCAAAGTATTTTTTGTGTTATCATTACATGGAGGTTTATACTGTTTTTTTCTGTTTATGGTATTAAGTGGTGGACAGACAACTTGAAGAGCAGACAAGTTGAAAGGGCGTTAACCAAGTTTAAAGGATGTGAGCCAAGTTGCAGGAAGGTACAGAAAGTTGCTGCTTTGGTCGGTTCTGGGCAGGGTGACCATATATATATGTGTGTGTGTGAGTTACTATATATATGTGGTATATGTATATATATATATGTGTGTGTGTGAGTTAAAAAATAATATATGTATATGTTATATATAGATATGTGTATGTATGTATGTGTGTGTTAAATATATATATATATGTAATACATACACATTATATATATATATAGTATATTTTAGATATAATATTATATTATATTATATACGTACAATTTACATATGATAAAGCTATATATATATATACAGTATATATGTAAATGATCACTGCTTATTGGATCCTCTATAAGATCCAAGTTTTCTCTAAATAAATTCCCAACATGTCCAAAAATTTGATGATGAAAATAGTCGAAAAATGGACCAAGCGTCACTACCAAACGAGACCAAACGAAAAAGACCCCACCACTGCAATCCTCTGAGGCACAGGATTGCTAGGCGCAACTGTGACCCTCCAATGGTGGGTAGTCGTACTATCATCCTCGGTGCAGCAACTTAGGCCGAAGTTGCTACATCTTTTGGATGGAAATGATGGAAATCAAGTATCAAGTCATTTGGAGCTTTCCAAGAGGGGGTCATTGATCCCCGCTGATTCAATCTGTGCTGCTCCCAGTTCTGGCATTGCGAACTGCGGCTGAGAAGCTCGAAGATTGGACCAACAACTGGATTTCCCAAGTCACAGGGCATCTGGCCGGTGCTGTGCGTGTTCCAACGGGTGTTTTTTGGTGGGTAATTAATCTAAAAGACGGTAGGTCCAAGCGTTTGGCAAATCGTGGGGAAAATGGGTGATCCAGTTCCTCATCAGAAGCCTCGATCCATCGGTTTTTGATCTGACGAAACATGGTAACTTCTGGCAGCCAGGTCTTCAGGCAGTTGCACCAGGTGAGACAGTCATTATCCGCGGGAGCCAGTGGCAGTAGGGTGAAGCGTCGGAGACCATTGACCATTGACCATCATGATCTATGATGATCTATGCTGGTGTGCTAATGGTTGGCTATAACAATCCCATTTGAACCAGGCGGTCTAACAATAACCAACCAACTAGGGCATGCTGCGACCAAGGCTGGTGGATGCATGGGACATTGTTGATGTTTCATGATGTTTCATCATTCAAGCCACTGCTCCCACAGATGCATGTCTATATGCTACAGGTTCTATCTACATGAGACATTACGATTTCAATGAATTTACATGAATTTACATGAATTTACATGAATCTACACCAATCATGAGCCTCTCAGTCATCTTCCTGTCAAGATTCGTTCCACCTGAGCCTCCAGTGCAGCATGGACCACTGCACGCGACAGTCCCAGAGTACGTGCGGTGTCTGTGAGGAGGGTCTCCCACTCCTTTCCTCGAGTATCCAAAGTTCTTCTTCCTCGTGGTGTAGCTGGACTGACAAAATTACAATATGCCGTGATGGACTGAGCGATGTTCATCAAATACAGCTGAGCGCTTTGCGCCACCGATGGGGCCACATTGGGCCCCATCCCCGAGCGCTTCGACGACACGAAACGGCTGGGATCCTCTGGGGCCTCGTTGAGGATCCGAGCCAAGCTCTGCATCTCCCGGAGGGTCACTAAGGGACCTTCCGACTCTGCTGGGGTCTGCAGAAACTCATGGCACAACAAATCGGCTGCTCTCACTGGAGGATTTTGACTATGTGCCTCCAAGCAGGTAGAGACAAAGGCCAAAAAAGGGCCACTGTAACGCCGGTTGAACAACAAATCCGAGGCTGCTGGCAAATAGCCGATCTCTGCGGGTGCTTCAGGTGTCGCCCCACGGAGTTCATGAAGCAAGAGCTCCCGAGTGTCGCCCCTGGGGGACACCAAATTCTCCATTGCTTGGGACCCGTAGCTGCGAGCATATGGGATGGCATCCAACAAAACTTCCATGCCACCAAGTGCAGAAACCAAGAGCAGTAAACCAAGGTCAAAAATATCCACCACTGTTTGTTCCACTCCTTCCGGTGGAAATTCATGCGACGCAGCTACCTGACAGGTCTTGATTCTTTGCTCCAAGCCAAAAGTCAGCCGTGGTCGCCCACTTGTACTGAAGAGCACCTGTGAAGGTTTCACACATCCATGAACCACAGGAGGCTCGGCTGAATGTAAAACGTCTAAGGCTTGTAGCACACTGAGGGCGATTTCACGCATGGCTTCCTCCGGCAAGCCCCCACAGGCTTGGATCAAATCATGCAACGAGCCCAAGGGCATGTACTCACAGAGTATGGCCATAGGATAGCCCTGTGGAGCATCCCAAAAGGCCTCGCGCAAGGCCACTAAGAGCCCGGGATGCTGAGATTGTAATCTGGACCATCTGGAAAGCCAGGCATGCAACCAGGATCTCAGGTGAGCACGTTGATGTTCAGAGCCTGGGATCTCCATCAAACAAAACAACTCCAAAGTTGATGGGTGCAACATCTTTTTGATGGCAAAGTGCCCATGCCGCTGCGGACAGGAAGACAAGAACACCAGCGAGTTCAATCGAATTGTGGCATCCGGCGACTCGCCATCTCCTAGCCGAGTTTCGGGAACCCTGGGGGAATGCGCCGTCACAGACGTCACTGCTCCAGCTGCGAAACTCTCGGCCGGCGAGGCATGTCGTTCGTGTCGTTGATTCGCCTTCACGGGGCCGAAGGCCGCAGGCAGATTCTTCTTGGAGCGACTGGCCCGTGGTCCACGATGCGCCTCCATCGCCCGAGCCAGCGGCCCAACCGCGTTTGAGCCCACTTAGCCATACTGCCACGACGCCATGGTGAAATCACAGGAAGATAACGAACATAATTCATTCCATGGAACATGTGTGTGGAAAATCGTGAGAACACCATCCAGCAGTTGAGGCATGAAGGATAGTATTCTTCATCATTGTGGCCTTGAAGGCGCCTTAACGGGTCTATCTTCATGGATCATCACAGTGAGTGGGTCGCCATGGTGCAACAATGGTGCAAGCCGTTCTCATGGCACAAGGCACGCATGTCCAGATTCTGCCTTGAGCTTCACCGGTCCAAACTCTCCGTTCTTGCCAGTGTAGTTCTTGAGAATTTCCAAGCCCCTCAGATGAATGGATCGGTATAATTTGTACATCTATGTAAACCTATGTCTACGGACAAATGATTCTGTCCGTGCTTATGCTTATACAGTTATAGTTATAGTTTTAATTATACATGCATGCATGCAGCGTCGTGGTATGCGATGGTATGTGTCTGTCCTTGTGCCTTCAAACAGTTACACATGCACTTGCGTGTGTAATTGTGGAATGTAAAAAAAATGCATCAAATTGTCCATCTTCGCATTGGAAAACCCTCGATGTCCAAAATAGTCTGAAGATGTCTTCTCTACCCCGTCACCTTATCCTTCTATATCTTCTATCTCCTCCAAGCTTCCCAAAGAGATCTGCGATATGCACCTGGCCCGTCTCTGGACCGATTGTGCACTCACCAAAGCCCTCAGGACAACCGTCAGTCACCCTGAGATGGAAGAATTGAGCAACGCATTTCACAACGGTTCCATGCGTTGCGCCCACATTGGGTCATGGGAACAAGGGGTGATTTGCCAGGCCGATTTTCCGTCCATGCCGTCACGGCTCTGAAATGTGGGGCAGGAACTTGTCGAAATTCTGTTTGATCGAAGGGTACTTTGCAAACTCGCGGATTTTGCTGGCAACCCTGAGCTCGAATTTATTTGGATGGCAATGGATGGCAAGAAATGGCAAAACGCAACAGTCTCAGCATGCCAACAATTGAGTCTATGACAAGCCTTCAGGCCTTGTCATCCTGCAACTCACATGAGACCCCCCACCTCTCTCCCAACATCTCGCCAGATCTTGAGAGGATCGATGCTAGGAATTGCTGTGGGAGATAGGGGTTCTCCTTCGGTTGCCACTTTTCCTGCATGCACTTCCTGCACGGCGGCTGCAAAACTTGAGGCATGTCTATTGAACACAGTTGAATCATGTTGAGTCACTCAAATATAAAATAATATAAATATTCCCCTGCACCTAAGGGAGGGGAGTGGGGTGGGGGGGTTGGATTTCTTTTAGTTGTCCCAACCATTGCATTTCGGCCACTGCTTTTCATCTGAAACCTTCATCCAAAGCCACGCCAACCCGCCTGCAGAACTATCACTTCGTGTGGTGAGTCCCGGCGACTTTTTAAAGCCACTAGTTTTAAGCGAGGCGCTGCCTGTCCATTTTTTGTGATTTTTGGAGGTTTGGGGGGGCTCAGAGGAATGGAAAGAGATCAGGAGACGAGAGGAAGGAAAAGAAGAGGTACGAGTACTGTAGTTGAAAATCAGTGAAACTCAACAGGTTGGACCCATGTAAAAATACTTCAATTGGAGACACAGTGCTAGGTCGCTAGGTAGTGCACAATTCATCCCAAGTGCACGTGATGAAGAGTGACTTGCCCAGCAACTTGCCTTAACTGCAACCACTTCTTCGACTCGTCTGAAGGCATCACCGTGATCAGACCGTCCACCGCAAAATTCGAAGCCAGGGCCGAGGGCGACGAAAGCGCCTGGACCATGTCCAAGACCTTCTGCTGCTCCGCTGGTGGCAGCATAGCCACCTGAGGAAACACCAAACAACGAATGTATCCAAACATTTCCAAACATCTCCAACCATAGCCAACTGTATGTTTTAAGTTTTGTTTTTCGGCCGCAATTGCTGGATGACCCTGAAATAGTTCAGTTTGCACCAGCCATGGTCAGAAACATGCACAACCAGCTGATCTCAGAGGGTTTGTCAACCGGTCAGTGGCGCAACGCGCCTTTGCAAAATAGGAAATTCATGTGAGATATCTACTGATGGGAATTTCATATCGTACTGAACGGACAAGCAAATACAACATATAACAACGGAGAGAAATATATAACACTAAATACTAAATATATATATATATAACGGAATATATAACGATATACAACAATGTTTAACCATATAACACAGACTACAACATTGCAACACACCACTTAGCACCTACATGCACCTACGGCCCAATTTGGTTCGGTCCAAGTGGCATCCTCTTTAGTCGGTGAGTTCTCGCCCGTGAACTGCTTCACTATATCCCCCAACGGGTTTTGATCCAGAAGCGACCCGTACTGCGACACGATGCAGTTCTGCGGCTGCAAGGTTGTCCTTTGGATCGTCAGGGTCATCAGGGTCAGATAACATACCTTGTTAAAGTTGACATGAAAAGAAATCAAATGATTCCTGGGTGCATCTTGAAATACAGTATCTGAAATAGAGTATCCCAGTATCCGCTCAAAAAATTGCATTTTTTTGCTGGGAAAATGATGCTTATTGATTAACCCAATGGATCCAAATGGAATGGGATGCTCTATTTTCGGACAAACCCAAATCAGCCTGCCTCTGAAAGTACTTCGTGTAGCTGGAGCAGTCACCCTCAGGGGCCACGCGTGGATTGTCATGGCACATGAGAGCTTGCAAGCGGCAGAGATGTTGGGTTGTGTACCTTGAACAATCCTGAAATTGACAGTTCGCCCGAACAAAACTTCAATTCTCGTTTCATAATGATAATTTCTCAGATCTGATCGCAACCCACTTGGTGCGGTGAAAAAATAAGGTTATCTGAATTGTGGTTCAACTCGCGAACCCATCCTCATAGTACAAACCCTCAAATCATATCCCAATGGGCAATGGGATGTCTCCGTCAGGACAAAAATCTGATATATGACATCTGCAACGGGTTCAAACTCAGTGGGTGATGCCAGACTCCAATATTTTTCCTCGCCGGGTGAAAAGCCCGGCCTTGACTGTAGAGGCGCTGAAACATTCCTTAAACTCCTTTAATGAAAGTTCTTATAACACATGAGGATCAGACAAGAAAGCTTGCTGGAGCAGGATACTTGCAACCTTTCCCAAGGACCAGAGTCTCGAAAATGTTCACCAAGCGAATCCCTCCCCATGTTCATTGGCCACTGCCACAGCTGCCAAACAAGAATTATCTAGTGCAGAATCAGTTGCAACAAACATATTTATATATTATACAACTGGCAACGGGCCCCTTCGCCAACCTGTCAAACCACCTCCAATACCCAATAAGATTCCCAAGTCCTTCCAACAACCAAATGAAATTCCAAATGGCCCTCCCGAGCCCTGCAGCGGCCGCGCCGCACTTTATGGCACCACACGCTCCGACGTGTCTGGGTCTACCTAAGCCCTCTGCGATTGCTCCCTGAGCCACTGCTATCGGCACCAAGAATGTACCCCAGCTGAACGGTTATCCCAAACTTGACAACTCATTGTGCACACATTCAGCGACATAAGTGGCATGATGAACAACGGCTGGAATAAACACACTCCTAAAAGATTATCTTTCTAAGATCTTTTTGAAAGAATCACTGAGATTCTTATGCATGCAAGAAAATGGATTGAAACCGGCATCGAAGATTTCTCACGGTACTGGCACACCTATGAGTTTCTTCCGCAAGTCACTGTTGCTCAGGATTGGGTAGAGCAGCAGAAAAGTTAAATCTGCAACGCCTGGAATCGGAGACACTTCGGAACTGCACAAAAATCCACTGGCATTACTACCAACTGAGGAACATGGCAAAAACATGCAAGGCGGATTCCTCTGGCTTGGCTATGGGCTGCTGGTACCACTGTTGTTTCACCTTTTTATCAGCTCTTTGCTTGAGAATTTCGTCAACATCATGCAAAAAATGCACTTTAATTCCTTGAGACAAAAAGGACCTCAGCACTGCAGTATACATTTCTTTGGTTAAGGTATCCGCCATTTGAGCTGCGCTATGCACCCATTTAATTAATACCCCTTCTTTTAGGCGTTCTTTGATCACAAGAGCTTCCAGCATAATGCGATATTCCGAACACTGGAGAATGGAAGTCTTTTGAAGGAGATCATAAAGACTCTTGCAATCAACAACGGCGAAGGCACAAGGTAGACCTTGTTTGAGAGTTGCTTCGGGGTCTTTCCAGTTTAAGTTGGGATTCAAAAACCACGCCCAGTGAGTTCGGGTCCAACTCAAAAGGTCTAATGCCCCGGACAACGCAAACGTCTCGGATGCCAGTGTGCATTCGAAGTTTGGGTCTAGTCTATTTCTTCAGTGGTGGCCATGATTAGGCATCCCTTTTGCGAGTGAGCTTTTTCTCGTGTGGCGAATGCCGCATCTGAGAACGAAAGGAACCGAATCTTTTGGATGGGTAGGGCTTGGATCTTTATTGAAGTCTCAGCAAACTTTTTGGCTTCATTCAGAATCCGATTACCCTGCATTAAATCGGAAACAGTGGCACACGTGACGCGTGCTTGGAGGAGGCTCAACCTACAGGATACGTCTGGTCTTGTGTTCGTGGCTGCATACTGAAGGCTGCCTATGAGTCCTCGAAGACTTTGGAGTTCATCTTTGGTGATGGGTAGTTCAGGATTTTTACGTCGATCTCGGTTGATATTGATAGGTGGAATGTCATTAATGTAGTAGTCTTTCTGAGAAAGGGTAATGTCACCATTGTGGGATTGTTGTGCATGAATTCCAGTGAATGTGAATGACACAGCGCGCTGGCTACCAAAAGGGAAACGACGTTCGAGGTTCTTGATTGCCTGGTTGAAGACCTCATCACCTCCCCCTAGTCCATCACCGGCATGCACTCCTAAGATGCCATGGATGGAACTGGTCGAGTGTTCATCCTTGGACTCTTTCGGCAACACGAACACAAAAAGGGATCCATGGGCGATACTATAAATCCAAGAGATAGTAAAGCGGCTTTCAGTTCACAATGCCATAACAAAGGAGCGTTGATGAGGCCATATGCACCCTTCAACAGTTCGCACACTTCATCAGATTTTAGGTTCATCTTAATTCTGAGTTCTTCAGGGGGTTCTATGCCTAAGATACGTGAATCTTGGCGGCTCCCACGGAGAAACGCTGTGCGAATGTCAAATGAGCGCACAGTCCATCGATGACTTGCAACACACTGCAAGGCCAACATCCTGCTGTCGCGACCAAGTGTGGGTGAATCCCTGGGAAGCGAGTCAATCAGGGGGTCTTCATATCCCAAGATCATTAACCGAGCTTTGGCCTTCCTGGAAGTTCCTGTTTCGGCCTGTTCAATTTCATCAAAGGATTTCCATGTGAGTATCCATCTCGATCTCAAGAGTTGACCCTCAGGTACCTGATTACGCAAGATCTTTCGGACTGTATCGGTAGCTATCCATGAATCAATTTCTTTCTCCTTGGCTTTTGCAAAAAGTCGGGCATCCTCTGGTGAAAGGTCTTTGATCTTTACTTCAACTTTTTGTCTTTTGGCTGCTGATGCCAGTAGAATTTCTTGTTGATCGTATGTCTTCCCCACGCATTTTTGGATGTCTTCATCTGTCATCAAGATTTCGGCTTGGAACACTTGTTGTTCAACATGAGTGGACATGTGAAGTTCTTCAGGTGTGGTATGATCATTATGTCCTGGAAGAATTTCAAAGTGAGTTGTACCTGTCCATGGTTCTGGCTGGGGCAAATGGCTTTGTGGGCTATTTCTCCAAGCTTCTTTTCTTTCAAACAGACTACCGGAGACATGTCTACCAAGAATGGTACGCATGTTGCCAAGTGCATGGAAGGGAACTGGGCATGTGACGGCTTCATGAGGAAAGAACATATTCAACCTTGGTTGCCTGTGGTGTCGAATGAGTTGATTACCAGATACTTCCCAGTGGTCTTCACGCACTCCAAGGGCAACGAGCTCTTCCTCGGTGTCCGCAGGAACGGGTGTTTCAATCGCGTCTTGCAGGCTGTCACCATGGTGGGGTGTTGGTGGGATCATCGGCTCAGCATCAGGTTGCACTTCAGAATCAGGGTGATTATCATCATCATTGGTGTTATCATTGGGAGGATTACTTATGATTATTTCAGGCTCAGGATTCAGGAGTGTTATTATGGCCTTGATCTTGAGGGTTAGGGTTATTGAGTGGTAAACTGGGGTTTATGTTAGGGGGATTATTCTGGTTGGAAAGCTCTCAGAATTGGAACACCCCTGTGCCGCTACGCTCTGGCAGTTGGAACATCTGTCGGTCCAGGTCGGACAACGACTGCTCTTCATCGGCTGACAATTTTCGAACATGCTCAGGGGCGCATCTGAAAAGCTTGGCCAAACAAGATTCTTTCCTTCAACCATCAACACTTTGGTGGGCCCATGCCACGAGCCAGGTTCGGCTCCCTTGCCAGCTTTCCAAAACATGACAATTTCACCAGGTTGACAGATAACCCTATCCGGTCTGGATCTCGCATGCAAGGCTTTTCGGAGAGCACTACTATGTTCAGCACGGATGAAAGCGACACGGGCAGCTTCTCTCTTGGACATGGTTTCCTGAAATCTGGCTCCTTCAGGTGACAGTTCATCGAGTCCTGGAAAACCTGAGCTGCCTAGATACAGATCCTAAAACCGCATTTTTCCTAAACCCATAATTCTGGCGTGTAACCCTCATGTCTGGACATCGAGAGTTGTACCAGGCAGTGTTCAAAATCATGGTAATTTAGGATTGGGTGGTCTCCATGGTATTTGGAAATCATGTGCATCAAGATGGCTCCATGTCTTTCGGCTCTCCCCAACTGCCAGTGGGCATCGGTGGGTATGACGTAGCTTTCAATTGTATGCTTCTGCAAGAACTTGGAAAACATCTCACTGTTTGCTTCAGTGGCGCTGTCAAACATCATGCTCTTAGGGGGACCCGCCCATCTCAACCATGCATTGAAGAAAGCTTCAATGAGACCCTCAGTGGTTCTCTGTTGATATGGAATGGCTACATGGAAATTTGTGGCAGTGTCCACAAAGTGGTAGAAACCATACACTTTTCCTTGAGGCATGTAAGATGGTCATTAAAGTCGGCGGGCACTTTGAGCTTACTGGGACGAGCGACTTTTGGAAGCTGTTGTTCCACGCAGGCTGGACATACAAAATCCCCACTAGCTTTGACCTCTTCTTCGGACCATCCATTTCTGCGCAACGCCATCTGCAAGACGCGGATGTCTGGATGTCCAAGGTTCTGATGGATCTTTCTGATTCGTTGTTGAGTATGAGGTGGTAATGTCTTGAACTGGGGACCTTCAGATAGTGTCCTCATACAATTAATCCCTCGGCTGACATCCAGGACTCTGATCTCTTTGTCGGGATACAAGGCTTGAACAGCATTAAACATGGGACCTTCTCGGATAAGGCTCTTACCAACTCGAGGTGCACTTTTCTCGGCCATGTCAAGGATTTGTTGGATTTGGTGCTTCTGGTCTAGACTGGATGACGTGTCTGCAGGAACGGATGACCCTGCCGAACTTGGGGCACTGGCTTCCTCTGACGGTTGATCTATGTACAAGTGCTCAGGGTGGAACTTGCCGGCTAGTCTCCGTCTTTTTGGTTCTGGAGCGTCAGACTCAACTTCTGCT